TCTGATATCTATCCTTATAATTCGTAATTCGATAAATTCTTATCTTTCTTTGCTTGGACGATAATGAATCCTATTTATCATAATTATTCAATAAAGYTAAACAATATCTCTAGCCAAAGTTTCCCATTTCTAATTAAACATGGGTTTGTAACTATTGTGATATGTGTACAAATAAACTTTGAGTCACGGTGGTAATATTTATGAAACTTACATGCAATTACCATGCTACTAACTCCCAATCATCTGTCGGAATAACATTCTCATGTCCATACAGTTGACTTAACGTGTAAACGACTAACTTGCCTCGTTACATCAATACTAAGTCTACTTCGAACTTCAAGTTATCACCGAAAACCACACTGATTTCTAGTACCTCGAATAACCATCAATTTTTTTTAATAATAATAGTGGATTCAAGTACACGAATGTAACAACTTACTCAAAATGACATTAGCTAAGTGAAATTTTGAATAGGTTATACWWAAGGGTTCTCAATCACCATCATCACAGTTCATGAATTATGCGACTCTGAAGACTCTAAAATTCCCTTATCTTAAATGTTCTACCCATAACTCACCAATTAGCGCTTCAAATCTCAGCTTAAGTCTAGGCATCTTAGTTCCTTACCTAGTTCGCTTAAACTAGAGCTCTGATACCAACTTGTAACACCCTAAAAAAAAGATAGTCTAAACCGAAAATATCTAACGAGAACCAGAATCTTAGATAAGAAAAAATTTCACACAACAAAAGTAATAGTATCGCGTTTACAATTCCGCTACTGAGAAGATAAATAACAACCTACAAATCTAGATTTTTTTCTAGATTAAAGACGGGTATTTCTATCAATCTCCAAAATACCGTAACATAAAAAACGCAACGTTCAAAAGTAACAAGGCTATAATTACAAAAGAGCCTTTCACGAACCAACGCTCCTCTCAACCCTTTAGAGCCCCACCGTTAAAGGAACCTCAAAAGTAATTATAACAAAAAAAAGAGGGTTAGGCTTACGCCTAGTGAGTCCAAACAAAAGAGTTTACGTAAACATAAAGGAACATATATAAAAATATACATGCAAATAGTTGACGTAACTTTAAACAACAATAAAGACAGTAAGACCTGAATAACTCGAAGTGGAACAATAAAACATCCGAAGATGATGGGGGAGACCCGATTTACCGTTGATTATGACAGACACAAAGTAAGTCATTGATCAATGTTATAGAGCATCACTCACAGGTTTAATACCATCGACATCAACCTAAACCAGTCTTGTAGTCGGCCATGATCTTAAGCTCTTTACCTCGGTAATTACACAATAATCACAATGCCTATTACCGAGTGAAAGTGAGAGGATGATTTGGTGATWACATAATAATCACAATGCCTAACACCAACTTACACCATCATTCCCACGAATAAAATAAAACGATATACTTGCACTATATAAATATAAATAATGACGTAGTATCGTACGATATATATATATATATATATATATATATATATATAGAAAATGAGTCATAAATAATACGTGGGAGTGTCAAGACATCCGAAGATGACGGGGGAGTCCCGATTTACCATTAATTATGACGGAGCACAAAGTAAGTCATAGATTAACGTTATAGAGCATCATTTACCGGTATAAAACCATCGACATCAACCTAAACCAGTCATGTAGTCGGTCGTGATCATAAGCTCTTTTATCTCGGAACTTACATAATAATCACAATGTCTAAATCCAATATACACATTCCTCATATAACTTCTAATATAATAACGACTCCCATGCCTTCAAACCCGTTACATTCTAAGGACATACTTAAATGCGTTTATATAAGCGTACGACCACTTGTACATCACTCGAATATTCGCATGAGTCCTTAATCAAAAGAACGTTTCCATTTTACCAATATTTAACTCCAAACATGGAACATGAGGGTTTATAAAGCCTTATCCCAAACTTACTTTGACACAAGTATTTCTACCAAGCAAGTGGTCATCTAGAAACATAGTATAAGTCGAGCATAACCCATGATTTCGATTAGTATAAAGCTTCAAAAAGAGAAGGGTTGGATAAACTCACATTGTAAGATTTGGGAGAAATCCTGAATCTTGGGAATAAATTGATTCAATGGGCAGAACTCGAGACACGAAAGAGCAGCTATTGCTGCCTCGATTTCGTTCTACCGAGCACGTCTAACAGCAGCTAACGGCAGTTCTTCGTGGCTCAACAACAGCTTCTGCTGCACTTCGTGGCTCCGTAGCAGCTTCTGCTGCACTTTGTGACCTAACAGCAGCAACAACTGCTTCTTAAGAACCTGTAACTACGGCTGCATCGACGACTCAGTTCCCACAGCCCCCCTTTTTTCGTTCTTAAACAGGTACTGCTCCTCCCTTCATCCCCTCTCATATTTTCTTTCAATTTCAGAGGTTTTTAACTTTTCCCCAAGCAAGAGATGAACCGTAAAGCAATGAAAGAAAAAGGTGAGACTAAAAGGTAGGATAAAACATGGGTGTGAAATGATAGCCCTCTTCTCCCTCTCTCCTCTTTTCTTTTCTTATCCCCAAGAAGAAGTGACCTCCCAAGCAAAAAGACTCCCT